ATGCACCATCAAATTCCTTCTCCAAAGACAATGAAAGGTCTCAGCCTCAACCACAGAAGAAAGGAAGGCCTTCCATAACTGATTCAGGCGACGAGAATTGAACTTTTATACCTGAAGTAGACTATTTTCGTTCTGACTTCAAAACTGCTTGTTTCCTTGTCATGCTCGAATGAGTTTTCGTCACATGACATCGTTTCGCTTACTAAATGAGACGTAAAGGCGTTTCCGGTTCCACTTTTTTTAACAAACCGGCTACTGGAACAATACACAAAAAATCTAAAATTTAAGGCGATAAAATTGTGCGATTTCAAAATGGATCTAATAAAGTGGTAATTGAACTTCGTGTCGTGCAATTTTGGTCTGAAATCATACTTCAAATCGAACTCGCGCTGCGCGCTCGTTCGATTTTGAAACCACGCGTATAATTTCAGACCAAATTGCACTCCACTCAGTTCAATTACCATTATTTATTTCATTAGATAATTATTTGCCAAATTTCATGCGACCAAACTATTATAATTTAGCAAGTGATAATTTTCCAAAAAACTGTTGTGCTTGCCTTGAAAGGCAAGTAAAACAGTTTATAAAAGAAAATTAATTGCCGCAAATTTAGCAAAGCTGATGTTTCGAGCGTTACCTCTTCATCGGAGCTGAAATTTGTATCTTTCTCACCTTCATTAATTTTTTGTTGTTGTGCAGCTTCATCAGTACCTGCAGTGGTTAATGTTACACTCAAATCACAAGAAGGGATTATTTTAGGGAAGACTGAAGTAACATATGGGGCGAATTTACTACAAGTAGTATCTTCTCCACGTTTCCTGAAAAAATTTTGTGAAGACTATATGAATGGTAATCATACTGGTAATATATCTGGAAACAGTGGAGATGAAACAGAAATTTCTAGAACTCTTGGTAAGTCGATTAATAATTAGAAGTAAGTCAAAGTATTTTTTAACAGTCCTTCATACTCAAAAAAAAAAAAATGCAGTGTCATGCTACTGACTAAGATGATTTAACACTACACTTTTTCCGTCAATCTCACTGATAAGGATTAACTTTCAACAAGAACAAACATTATGGGCGGAGAGAGAGTGGAAATGCAATAGGAACTGCACAAGTATGATGTGGTTTTAGTGGTGCGGTGGTGAGAGCGCCTGCCTCCTGACAGTGTGGCCCGAGTTTAAATCCTGGATCCCGTGTTCTATGTGGGCAGAGTTTGTTGTTGGTTCTCGCCTTTTATGCTCCAGGAAAAAATCGCTCTGTGAGGGTTTTTTTTCTTCATGTATACTCTGCTCTTCCTCCCTCCGCAAAAACCAATACTCTAAATTCCAATTTGATCAGGTATGTGTCCTCGATTAGTAAGCATGACTCAATAAGTTAAGTTAAGTTCCCGCTTACCATGGAGTCATTCTAACTCTCAAAGTGGAGTTAAAATTTGGGTCCAAAATAGCTCCCTTTCTGGGGTTATTAATACTCAAAAATTTAACTGTTAGGTTCACTCCTAGAAGAGGCATTTTAGATTCTTAAATGGAGTTTCTTTTACTCTCAATGGAGCTAGATATCAATCCATGAAATGACCTCTAAAGGGGTAATTTTAACTCCTTATTTGAACTCCCAACATGAGCTGTAACAACTCCACTTGGATATTATCTTTGTAGCTGAAAAGGAACTCATATAAACAAAATCAAAGATATTAGCTGAGCAGAATCAAACATTGTACTCACGACATAGTTAAATGATGCATAAAAAACTTTTTTTTAAATGCATTGTATATAACGTGGAAAACAGACATATACTCTACAAACTATTTTATGCAAAATATGTATTAAAAAAAACAAACCTGATTTCCTGTCAAAAAAAAAATAACGCAGTACTTACAAGGATAAACAAATATAAACATTCCAAAACATGACAACGCACCCAACACATCCCATTTGTCATTGCTCGGCAGCTCAAACGGACCATTTGCATGTATATCACATCTTCTGTTTGGTGATCCCTTAAAAATTTTGCTCTCCTTACAATCATCCTCTTTGCAGAAAAGCATTCACAATAATCACCGCCAAAGTCTCCATGGAACAATCGTGTACCTCACGTAATGGCCCTGCTTTGGGAGAGCAGCAACATAAACCTCGACTGTTTCCATTTATCGTTTATAGACATGTTTAGCCTTCAGCAGATAAGCTTATCATAAACTTTTACTTATCTTCTTAGGATGCAACGAACCGGTCCAGATGTTAAGTCTGTTAGTCTATGTAGCAGCAGAAATTGGTGCTCAGCAATTCATTGACATAATCTTCAACTCTTCAGCGAGAAGAGTGGTACACAATGCTTACAAAGGCAATTTAACATTGCCAGAAACTATTGCCAGAGATCATGGCAACGAAGAGATTGCAAATTACCTTGAGGACGTGACCAAAAGGTACGAGCGTAATCAAATAATCTTGACATACCTCCTAACTCAAATACGTTTTCCGATTGGAGGAGAACATGTCACGTGTCATGGGCCAAAACTCACTAGGCTTTTCCACAAATATCCGGATGTTTTCTGGGATATTTAGAAGTTTCCGAGATATTTAGAAGATATTAAGAGCCACTGCCCACAAGTATGGACCAAACAACGGCACAAGTCGAAAAATCGATTTTGCTTATTTTTTGCCCAAAGATTGGCCCTAGCTAGAGAACAAACGGACCATAGTTAGTTTCTGCTAATGCAGCTTTTTTGGAAGAAATTTGCGAAAAACGATTTCGCCCCGATTGAGCTCAAAATCTACTTCCAGT